ATCAATTATAAATGTCTTGGAAGAATCAGAATAAAAGTGAAATTTATTTATTTTTATTTGAATGCTTCTATTGCAGAAAAAGATACAATTCAGTTCATTCGATTTCTCGTAATATAGAGATTAAATAAATGAAACAATGAAGCGAATCAATCTCATCATTAGGGTCATCTAAGCAAATTTCCTTCTACTATAAGTAAACTTCGCAAATAAAAGAATATAGAGCTTGTTCTCAAATTTTTTCATCTGACTTCTAAACCTGAATTATAATCAATCGTGCTACCATTAATATGCATTTCTAAAAAAACACTATGACCACTTTTTTTATTTCATTCACTATGAAATCTATAGTCTGATTGAACCAAAACATTGTTTGTCCATTATAGAAGATGAAAATGTATGTATTATAATGCCATTTGGTTTTATTTGAAATATTCAAGCCTGTGTTATCCTTTGTCTACTCATTTTTTTCCTTTTTTCTTTCGCAGTTGATTGCTTGGAATTGTGATACAATTGAATAAAAGCTATTGCACAGCATTGACAGATCTTCGATCCTCGCTAATTAGCATCGTAATATATTGTTAATTTTGCATCTTTCGATTTCAGTCAAACTATCAAACTTTATAATTCAGAGCGGTCCCCTACTCTTTCCTTCTTTAACACCAACCATCATTACTAGTGATAGCTGTTTGTACGAGCCCACACACATGCTATTCGACGCGTAATTAAGCTTATCCAAGTCGTCTTGTTTTTCTCTCTGTAATTTTCAACGACCAACTATCACCAACAAGAAAGGGTAATATCTATTTTAATACCATCAGCAGGTATCTGTTCGCTGGGGGACAAAAAAGAGATGCATACCTTTTCTTTTTCTTTTATTTTCATAGTCTATATGCATTTGCCATTACAGAAGAGAACAAAAAATACACTATCGAAATATAAACATTCATAAAGATACTATTTCAGACTTCCTCTGAACCACCAACTCTTCCGAAGTTTCATCACAAAATAAAAGGATGCCTAATGCCCCACAGCGGCCACTCATCATTACGCCGCAAACACATACATGTCACAATACAGCCATATACACTTTTTTTTCCAATTTTAGGCGTAGTCTTAAACAAAAAAAATAATGTCTAGTTAAAAACAAATCAACCATAGATTAGACCACACATATCCAACAAAAAAAACAGGCAAAAGCCCCCTCTCCCCGACAGCATATATAAAGACAACGCATCTACCAAGAGACAATACCAAACATACTCCGACAGACGATCTTACCGATCAACGCGAAAATAACAATCATAATTCAATGGCACCATCAACAATGAAGCTTGCCATATTATTTCTACTTGCTATAGTAGTCTACACCAACACCATGTCAGCTACCAAGGACATAGTCGACAACAAGAAGATCCTCCTCCACAAACGTGCAGTTCATTCATTCCTCCTGCGAACCGCATATCAAGTCACTACGGTAGCACTAGGAAATCAAACTCACAACAAACATGCCACCAACCTTGGTCATTATCATTCGTATTCCATACGCTCTTTCGTGATTCCCACAACATTATTCTACAATTTCAAAGCGCATCAAAACCATGAATACACTCTTGGTAGTAACTCTCCATCTTACATATGATCTTCCCCATTAGGTTCAAAACTCTCTTACACTTGCAACCGATTCAAAATGATGAATGCAGTTTTGGTAGATATTCTTCATTTTCCAAAATGACTTTCACACATAGGTTCAATACACTCTACCTCATTCAAGAGAATCAAATTGATGAATACACTTTTTCTAGCTACTATCCATTTTCCACGTGATCCTGATTCACAAGTTCAACAATCTCTATCACTTCCAAGTGAATCAAAATGCAGAAGACAATCTTCCTAGAAACTATACATTTTCCATCTCACCCACACTTCAAGTTTCAATACTCTCTACCACTTCCAACCGAATCAAAATAATAAATACAAAAGTGGTAAATGCGGTCCACTTCCTATATGATCTTCGCTCATACGTTGAATAGTCTCCAACATTTTCAAGTGAATTAAAATACTGAATACAATCTTGGTACATACTCTCTACGTTCCACATGCTCTTCACTCATATGTTCAATCCTCTCTAGCATTGCCAACCGAATGAGAATAATGAATACAATCTTGGTAGACACTTTCCCAATGCTACATGACCTCAACTCATAGATTCACTGCTTTCTCCAGCATTCAAGCAAATCAAATTGATGAATACAATTTTCCTAGCTACTTCACATTTTCCATGTGATCTTAATTCCGAAGTTCAACAATCTAAATCACTTCCAACAGAACAAAAATTCAGGATACAATCTTGGTACATACTATCCATTTTCCATATGATCCTCAATCCTAGGTTCAATACTCTCTACCTCTTCTAACCGAACCAAAATAATGAACACAAAAATGGTAAATGCGCTCCAATTTCTATATGATCTTCCCTCATACGTTCAATGCTCTCTAATATTTCCAAGCGAATTAACATGCTGAATAGAATCTTGGTAGATACTATCTATGTTACACATGCTCTTCACTCATATGTTCAATACTCTCTAGCATTCCCAACCGAATGAGAATAATGAATACAATTCTGGTAGACACTTTGCCATTGCTCTATGATATTCACTCACAGGATCAATACCCTCTAATCGCATCCAAGCGAAACAAATTGATGAATACAATTTTGGTAGCTAGTCCTCATTTTCCATGTGATCTCCAACCACAGGTTCAACAATCTCTATCACCTCCACGTGAATCAAAATGGAGAATACAATCATGGTAGACACTATCCATTTTCCATATGATCCACAGTCCTAGATTCAATACTCTCTACCACTTTCAACCGAACCAAAATAATGAATACAAAAGTGGTAAATGCGCTCCAATTTCTATACGATCTTCGCTCATACGTTGAATACTCTCTAATATTTCCAAGCAAATTAACATGCTGAATAGAATCTTGGTAGATACTATCTATGTTCCATATGCTCTTCACTCATATGTTCAATATTATCTAGCATTGCCAACCGAATGAGAATAAGGAATACAATCCTGGTAGACACTTTGCCATTGCTCTATGATATTCTCTCATAGGATCAATACCCTCTATCGCATTCAAGCGAAACAAATTGATGAATACAATTTTGGTAGCTACTTCTCATTTTCCATGTGATCTCAATTCAAACGTTCAGCAATCTCTATTACATCCAAGTAAATCAAAATGCAGAATATAAACATGGTACACACTGTCCACTTTCCATATGAACCATAGTCCTAGGTTCAATACCCTCCACCACATCGAACAGAATCAAAATAATGAATACAACAGTGGTAACTGCCGTACTATTTATACTTGACCTCCGCTCATAGATTGAAAACTCTTAACCAATTCCAAGCGATTTAAAATACTGAATCCAATCTTGGTAGATACTCTGCATTTTCCATATGATCTTCACTCGTCGGTAGAATACTCTCTAGCACTACGAAACGAATCAATATTTTAAATATCATCTTGGTAGACACTCGCCTGATTCCATATGATCTTCACTCATATGTTCAACAATCTTTACCATTTACAAGACAATTAAAATACTGAATCCAGTGTTGCTACACTGTGTGCCATTTCCACATGATTTTCCACCAAGGCTTTATCATTCTTTATCACTTCGAGCCGACTCAGAATATTGACTATCATTTTGGTAGATAATCTCCGCCTTGCATAGAATCTACACTTATCGTTGCAATGCTCTGTACCACATCCAGTGGAATCAAAATACTGAATACATTCTTGGTGGATGCCATCTAGGTTCTATATGCTCTGCACCCATATGTTCAATACTCTCTAGCATTGCTGAGGGAACGGGAATAATGAATACAATCTTGGTGGACACTTTCCAATTGCCATATGATCTTCACTCCTTGGTTCAATACTCTCTACCGCATTCAAGCAGATCAAATTGATGAATGCAGTTTTGGTAGCTACTCTTCATTTTCCATGTGATCTTCATTCACAGGTTGAGCAATCTCTATTACTTCCAAGTGAATCAAAATACAGAATACAATCTTGGTAGACACTATCCATTTTCCATATCATCCTCATTCCTTGGTTCAGTACTCGACACCACGTCCGACCGAATCAAAATAATGAACACAAAACTGGTAAATGCGCTCCAATTTCTATATGGTCTTCACTCATACGTTGAATACTCTCTAATATTTCCAAGCAAATCAACATGTTGAATAGAATCTTGGTAGATACTATCTATGTTTCATATACTCTTCACTCAAATGTTCAATATACTCTAGCATTGCCAACCGAATGAGAATAATGAATAAAATCCTGGTAGACACTTTGCCATTGCTATATGATAGTAACTCATAGGATCAATACCCTCTATCGCGTCCACGCGAAACAAATTGATGAATACAATTTTGGTAGCTACTCCTCATTTTCCATGTGATCTCAATTCACAGGTTCAACAACCGCTATCACCTCCAAGTGAATCAAAATGGAGAATACAATCATGGTAGACACTATCCAGTTTCCATATGATCCACAGTCCTAGGTTCAATTCTCTCTACCACTTCGAACAGAATCAAAATAATGAATACAACAGTGGTAACTGCCATACAATTTATACATGATCTCCGCTCATAGGTTGAAAACTCTTTACCGATTTCAAGCGAATTAAAATACTGAATCTAATCTTGGTAGATACTCTGCATTTTCCATATGATCTTCACTCGTCGGTAGAATACTCTCTAGCACTACGAAACGAATCAATATTATAAATATGATCTTGGTAGATACTCGCCGTTTTCCATATGATCGTCGCTCATATGTTCAACACTCTCTACCATTT